AGTTTCCAGAGAAGATACTTGACTCAGGTTTGTCCAATCAATGCATTCTATACCCCAGCCACAGTATTAATTTTCGCGGATGGTATATAATAGTAGTAAATCTCATATGCTTGGCACATGCATTAAATGTATTTAATACTTCTAACAAGCCTACAAAGTAGGAATTACTATTATCTTTAATATGCAGATAAGGAAACTGAGGCACAGAGTATAAATTTCCTGGAAGAGATCAAATAGCTAGTGAGCTATTTGATAGCTCAGTATGAGTCAGAATGCAAACCTAGGCAGTCCACATCAGTCTGTGCTCTCACCAGGGTACTTAGAGTCTAGTTTTTTGCTGGAATCAACGGAAAGGAAGTGCTGCAAGAGTAAGTTGAGGCAGGAGCTGCTTGACACCATCAAATAGAAAGGCCTGCCTGAGAAAATGTCATCATAAAGGAAAGCATATAGAAGAACAGGCTGAGTTCTGATTACATTGATTAAGGCCTTGGATTTAGTGGTTTCTAAAGCTTTTAACCTGGGATTTGGCAGTTTTGTTAGCTAATATATTTTTCTTTTCTTCTTAACTTGCAATGGCAAGCCTAAAGAAAATGACGTTGAAAGCAAACTTTAAATTAAATTTGCACAAGCAGTTATCATCACTGCCCTCAGAAGAATCATTATAAAACTGACAAGTGTTGAAAGGATTAGTAATATGCACTTTAATTCCATAAATATTTATTTAGGTGAGGGGACTAGGACCTGGGAGATTCATGCTTTTTATATTATGCATTAGGTAGAACAAAACTAATCTTGTTAAGAATTGGTGGGGGCAGGGGGACAGTGAGTATCTTGGCAATCACAAACAAAATGGCCACCATCCTTAGAAAGGAAAAACTAAAAATAAATAAATAAATAAATAAATAAATAAAAAACACTTTGTTTCCCCCTGCCACTCCTAATGATGAGTAAATCTCAAAAAGTGGGTATTGAATTGTCAGAAAGATTTCAGAGTCGAAAGAAACACTGTAAGTTTCTTGTATAATATGAGATTCTGTATTCCCGTCCTTGATGTAACAGCTAGATTCCTGTCTGCAAAGATCCTATCGTGTAGAAATACGAGCTCCTTCTGCTTCAGCCTTAGATGATCTCTGTCCACTCTCGGAGAGGGCAAATGAGTGACCCCAACCCCTAATAGAAGTGGTTAGAAACAACCTTAATATTATCAGGTAATTCATCCTGCCATGCTGCCCAGCAATGCCCCTCGGGACCTGCTCCTTGAAAGTGCCCCTCTTGTAGTCAGCTTGTCTGATATGCTTGTGCTGCCAGAGAGGGTGCCCCAAAAGGCACTTAAGGGATTTGAAGGGTATATGGTTACAGAATCAGTTTCATATATGAAGAATTTGTATCTGCTATTATGTCAGTGTTTGAAGAGTGAAAAAAGCACTCAATATACTTGCATTTATGAAAACTAGAGATAGGCTGCCTCCCCACTCTCCAACCCAATCTTAAGCAATTTATGTAGTATTAATGTCTACAACCTGCTTTCTGACTTCATTTATCACTTTACTTTTTTTTTTCCCCCCCTTTCTGATTGGACAATTACATCTAGACTAGTTATAACAGCCAGCACAGCACCAGGTCCTCTAATTTATGTGTTAATGTGGTGTTCTGGAAGCTTGATGTTAAAATGATGAATATCACCTGGGAAGAAGATTGGAAGAGAGCAAAAGAACTGGCAAGTTGCCTTGTGGAAATAGCTTTCGACTTTATCAAACCGTGGGGTAACATGTCAGATTATATTATGTACAATTAATTATTAATGCAGTCTGGGCCTTATTTTGAAAAGTGCAAACATGCACTTCCAATAATTTCCTTCCCATGGAAAATCTGTTGTGTCCCTCAAATTGAGCAGCAAAATGTCCCTCACAAAATACCTTAAGGCTTCCATTTCTCCAGATTTAGCATGCATCTGAGACAAGAAAGCTTTCACAAGCCTCCTTGCCATGGACAAAACAGAGATGTGTTTTTGCTTAATTAAAATTCTTTTTTGGCAACAGATGTCCTTGCAAAAATAGCTCAGAGTGCGGTGAAGCATTTTTATGGGCTGGAGTTCAGCAATGAGGAGCCCGTCATCTGCCTTCTCTGCTCTGAGAGCAACACAAGAGACCAGGTGGCTGGTCACAGTTTGAAAAGTGAACAAATGTATTTATTCATTCTGAGCAATTTGCAACCCACTGGGAGAGCAGGAGCCCTGTCCCAGCCCCTAGTTTTTGAGAGCTAGGACTGTGAGAGAAGGGGGCTGTTTAATTGCTTTGCACAGTTTCTCTCACTAAAGCAATTAGCACCCAGAGGAAAGTCCAGGAGAAGAACACAGCCAGGCCTCACACACATATGGTGGCCTGAAATCAGCCTGCCTACTGTCCCAGGCACACAGATGATTCAATCAGTGATTCAGGCAGAGACCACGATGCTCCGCTTCCTGGGTTTGCTGCTGCTGAAATGTTATCTTCCTATTCTTGAGCTTCTAATCCATTGAGGAACTAGTGTACAGAGGGTGGGAGCTCATCAACTTCACACCTCGCTAACGCTACTGGAACAACAACAACAACAAAACCTTAATAGGCTTGAGAACTGAAAGAAGAGAAGTTTTCTTCTAATCTGTACTCAAGACTAAAGTGACTGCTAAATGGACGGAGAAATCAAATAAACCAACCGAGGTCACCTGGCTAATTATCTGAATACAATTAGAACCTGGATCTTAAAATAAATCAGGCAAGATAACACATACTTTAAAAAAAAAAAAAAAAAGCACTTGCTAAGGCTTGTGTGGGTAGGACACATGGCTGTCATATATGACAAGATTCAGTGAAAATTACGTGAATTTTTGTTGTCATTGTTGTTGTTTTTAATCTAACTACAAGGCTAGATTACAGCAAAGGCATTCTGTTTATTTTTGGTATATTCTGTCAATGACTGAACCAGATAATGCAATAGAGCATAATTCATTAATTAACTAAGATAATCACACAGTTATATTTGTTAGTAAATTTTCCTGATAACTGAAGCCCTTCTCTTAAAGATTTAAGGTTTTCTAAAATATTTAACCACTTTCCTTGGAAATAATCTTAAAATATACATGTCTCTTTATTGTTATTCAAGGTTCAGAGAACACTTATGGTTCACAAAGGGATACATTAACAAATTATTCTCTTCTTCCTTTTGTACAAATTGTATGCATTAATGTTCCCTTTGTGGCTAAGCTACTTTTTTATATTGAAAGAATAATTTTTAAAGTCTTACTTCTTTGCATGGGGACGGTACATCTGAGTGATTCATTCTAAAAATCTAAGGAGGTAGACAGGGTTACTGAACAGAATTATCCATATATTCATTTAACAACAATTTAGTGATCATCTACCCGGTCAAATACTCTTCCAGGAGCTGGGATTCAACAGTGAACAAAACAAAGTTCTGGGCACCTGGAATTTGCATCTGAATGGGGCAGATAGCCAACCTAGCATTAAATTCATATGCAGTATCATTTCAGATAGGGCTGAGTGCTACAAAGAAAAACAAAGAAGAAAAGGGGAGGTGGTCAAAGAAGGCCTGTGACAGCTGAAAGTGATCTGAATGAAAAGAGGGAGGAGAAAGCCACATAAATACCAAAGGAGAACTCCAGGTGGGAGTTTTGGTTGAGAAACAATTCTCTGTGTTGTTTCTACATGTGAGAACTTTGTTGGGAAGGACCTTTTTAAAGATGTTTGCATACCAAACAGCTTTGAAAGCTAAAACAGTATCTCCCTCTGGGTTAAAGGGCAGATTTGTTTCTTGACCAAGGTAATAAATGATCACCTCTTTCTGTGGGTCAAAGGTCAGGCAGGTTTGTTGTCAACAACTTTAAAAGATTGGAGTTTTCTAAACTCAAAGCTCGAAAGCTGGAACATCAACAAGGTGTGTACAGCATCTACTTAGGCTGGAACACCAACAAAGTGTTGTACAGCATCTACTTAGGCTGCCTTTGCAACACCTTCATGGAACTGGGAGACAGAGGAACCGATGCAAACAAGAAAGTCATGCTGCCTTCTGTGCCAGAAATAAGTAACCATCTAGATCTATTTCAGCTCATGGGAAAAAAGGAACTTCAAGAAGGAGGGAATGATTAACTGGTTCAAAGTCTGAGTATGAGTAAATGAGGACTGAGAATTGGCTGTTTGATTTATCAACCTCGAGGGTCATGTCAAATAAGAACTGTTCCTGAGGGCAAAATTATAGAGAAGATGAAAAGAGATAAGAGAGATATTGAGTATAGCAAACTCCTTCAAGAATTTTCCTGTACACCAAGCAGAGGAAATGGGTACTCACTGGAAAGGTATATGGGAATCAAGAGAGGGGTTTTGTCTTGTTGTTTTGTTTTGATATAAGAGACAGTATAATATGTTTGTATGTTGGGAAATAATGTAGTGGGGGAGAAATTTAATGATGCAGGAAAGAAATGGCATCCCTGGAGGAGCAAAGTTCTCAAGCAGCTAAAAAGGAATGAGCTTCATTATGACACCTGCAGTGCTAACCTCACATCAGAGTGCAGGCAATTGATTCACTATAACAGGAGAGGAGGCTGAATCTATAGCACAGGTGCAAGTAATGTGCAAAATTTGGTAATGAGTGGATAGAGAAGTTTTCTTCTGATTGCTTCTATTTTCTCAGTGACTGGAGTGAGAATGAAGTCATCAGTCCAGAATGAAGAGAGTGGAAGGGCTATTGGAAGCTGAGGAGAGAGATGATGGGGTGAAATAGTCACCTAGGAAAGTGAAAGAAGGCATTGATTGGAAAAAAAAAGTAGTATTGCAAGATGACACCAGAAAGTGTCTACATTTCTGCACCAGTGGTCTTTAAGATATTAAATGATATTAAAAAGTCACTCTATGGGTGGGAAGCGGTGGGAAGGGGGATGATTCCATGGCCAATTAAATTGGAACATACTTAGCATCAAAAACTGATCAGGTGTCTTTACTAAAGAAGATTTCAGAGCCCTTAATATGTTATGTAAATGATGACTTTCCCAAAAGGGTGACAGTATTCAAGGTTTCCGAAATGCATTTCATTGTGGAATATTAGTAGGGTTTTACAAAACATGTCTTAGAAAATGTTGTGTTAAATCACCGACGTCCAGCTATATTTGTCTGGGTTAAATTGACCACTATTCCTCTGGAGTAGAACTAGAAACATCAGGCATGGTTCATCAGGGAACTGGGTTCTAAAAGTAGTAATTGACACATTTAATAAAACACTCTAGTCATTGTGAGACACAGCATGACCTGGAGACCCCATGACTTCCAAGGCAGATCACTAGTTGAGTTTCCAGAAATGTGACCATAGGGTAGTCTGAAGTCCAGAGGAGGAATCTTTAGACCAGAGAGAAAACAGCCTTTTTACCCTGAGTGTTCACTGAGGGTTGGAAGAGATGTCTACAAAAATGATTATGGAATAGCTTGGAACCCTCAGACACAAGCCTTCAGCACCCAGGCAGGTAGAAAGTGATTCTGCACTTCAAGAGCCTTGAGGGGGCAAGCACAAGGGCTCAAGCTCAGGAGCAAGGTAAGTAAATAGGTTTTATTAGGAATAGAGTGTTTCACTGGGCTTAGTAGCAGTTCTATTCTGATTCTACTTTGAGTTAAAGTCTATGTAGCTTATGCTAGCACATCTAAAATAAAATTCTAGCTATGTTATTAAAAGTTTTCAGTACTATGTAGGAAGGGCATTCTGAAAAGGCTGGCTAGAATTAAAATAAAATTTTAATTTGTTCAAGTAGTGTAACTTCTATTTTGCCTATTTTTGTCATTATCCCTCTTAAGCTTTGTCTTAGGAATTAGAAATGAGTGTACGTGTGCACATACACACACACACACACACACCCCATGTCTAAAAAATGAGAATACTTGCATTCAGAGGAACAGCAGGACAAGGTCAGTCAAAAGACTCTCACTCCTCATCCAGGCTTGGAGTGAGTGAAAGTAACCGAAAGAAAAGGGGTTAGGGGTCACTGCCATAGAAAAGAAAGGAAAGATTCCTATGGAAAGAAAGAAAGGAACGTATAATGAGACATGCTCTTGTCTAACCCTGAAATGTTGGTGCTCAACAAGAGGTGCCAAAGATTTCTGCAAATGAAAAAGTAAGTTGATATTTACTCCTCTGCAAAATACTTCTTGGACTCAGCACTGCAGAGGTGGCCTTTTCAAAGCCTCTTCCATTTTTCTGATGCCACACAACCTTTGCTGTGTCTTTTGTAATGCTCTTAACACAAGGGTTGCAAATGCAAATGACCTCAAAGACTAGGCATGTAATGTACATAAGGAAAGCTGGGCCTCCTATTAGAGTGGTGAGGGCCGTGAAACTGGAAAGGCATTACATTCAAATCATTTAAGAGCATTGTAATTGGGCCTGCAAGCCGACAGTTTAAGACTCTGCTTGAAAGCATGCCCACCTCCTTTTGGAAAGTGGGATGCGCAGGCTGCTAAGAAGTCATCTTTGTCACCACACCTGTCCAATGTGCTGCTTCCAATGTGCTGCCTTATGTTGTACATGATTGTCTAGAAGAAAACATCATCTTTCTTTGCAAAGAAAGTACAGAGGTTTTATGATGACTTTTTAACATTTATTTCTAAGTTTACAATTGTATTCTAAATGCTTCATTGCCAAATATCTTATTTCCAAATAAAAGATGGAAGATGTGTGACTGCAAATAATAGTATATTTCAAATCGTTCATGAATGTATGATTATTATATATGATAGTTCTTATATGATATATGAAATGTAGTATGACATTATAAATGCATGTGTATGCATTTTGTATTCATTTAACATATATAATATTGTATAATACATGATCATATATGTGTGTATATATACATATACATGGCTGACTGGCATTAGAGAAAGTCCTTTGTATTATTTTAGGAAAGCAAGAATAAAATGAGATAGAAGAAAAGAAAGCAAAGGAAAGTAAAGAAAAATTATTTTGAGAAAGACGGTGCATTCCTTTAATAGTAATTTCTAATACTGTACATTCACATAATTGTCATCACTGTTTCATTCACTTTATATAACCTATAAAGGAAAAGCTAATCTATAAACATAAATCACACACTAGAGGACCATAAGCCAAATCCAGTTTATAAGATTTGGTTCACATTTCTTAAAAGAAGTTTGATTTAGCAAACTCCATTTTGAATTGGGACATTTCACACAGACATTCATGTTTTCCCTCCTCTCTTTTGACAGAACATGTGCTCTACAGCTCAGCTCACTTCAGTCATCATCAGAGCTGCCACACCCATTTACATTACATACCTGATCCTGTTTGGCATTTGATTTTATGGACCCTCTATTTACATCCAGTACAGTACACAGGGATCTATCTGTTTTCAACAACATACATCTGGTGGACGAAGTCCAGAGAGTGGTGCAGGGGCAGAGACGCCTTTTCAAAATAAGGCATGAAAAATTTAAACCAACAAATATAAACCTATAAAATATTCAGGGCATTAGAAGATCCTGTCTCCTGTCTGGAGGGCAAGGGATCATTTTTAAATGAGAAAGGCATCCTTGAAGAATGCATGCTGGTCTAGATCTAGGCCATGTGGCCAAACAAGGGGCTTCCAAGGAATTCTACCTTAAGCTTAAAAGTGTTGAGAGTTGAATGAAGTTTAACCCCCTTCTGTAGTCAGATTCCAGGTTCTTTTCTGCAAGTGCTATATGGTTTCTTACAATGTCAAAGAATCCCTGGTCACAAAATAGTCCAGAAATATGTCACTGAGCCCTGGTAGGGGATCAAGTTTCCTTGAAAAATGGGTTCTAACTTTTAGTTTCAGATTCTTCTGTGCAGCTGGAACATCAGAATACTATATTGTAGGGGAGAAGGTAGAAAGACTGGAACATACCATTTTATTTCTTCCCAACACTGTCTTATGAAATTGAAAAATCTACCCTGGAACATGTTGTCCAAATCAAGGGTACATTAGAAATTGACCCCCAAAAAATACTTTCTATAAGAGCTTTTTAAAAAATACCTTAATTTATCCCCATTTCCAATTATTTTACATTTAAATTATTTAGGAATGCCAAGGTTACGAGAGATTTAACACACAATTAAGTTTCAGGGTGAAGGTGGGAATAAACAGAAAGAGAAGAGACTATTCAGAGGAAATAATCTTCTAAATTAAAAAATGTTAAAAGACAGGGACAATGATATGGTTCCTGAATAGGGGAAGACAGAATTGAGGAAAGTAATAAATTTTGTGAAAATATTATAAAAGGATTCATTTAACAGGGAAGCGTTTACTAGTATGGTAGCCCAGTCCAACATATAACTAAAATAAAAATTCTGCTTTATGGTATGTTTTGAAAGGCATAAAAGAGCCCTGAACACTAAATTAACTTTCACAAGAACTGCAGTAATGAAAAACGCCATGAATACTGTCACACTGATTGGCTAAAGGGTGCAGAAGGCTTCTTTCAAAAGAAGTGGGGGGATAAAACCTTAACTAATGTGTACTCATTTTCATTTGTGTGAAACTCTGTGACCTTGGATATGTCATAGAATCTCTCTGGGTCTCTGTTTCTCATTTCTAAAGTGTATTGGTCTATTTTCATGCTGCAGATAAAGACATACCCAAGACTGAGCAGTTTACAAAAGAAAGAGGTTTGTTTGTTTGTTTGTTTTTTAAGATGGAGTCTCGCTCTGTCGCCCAGGCTGGAGTGCAGTGGCTGGTGCTCTCTAGGCTCACTGCAAGCTCCACCTCCCAGGTTCACACCATTCTCCTGCCTCAGCCTCCTAAGTAGCTGGGACTACAGGCACCCGCCACCACACCCGTGTTAGCCAGGATGGTCTCGATCTCCTGACTTCATGATCCACCCACCTTGGCCTCCCAAAGTGCTGGGATTACAGGCATGACCCACCATGCCCGGCCAAAAGAGGTTTAATTGGACTTACAGTTCCACATGACAGGAGAAGCCTCACAATCATGGTGGAAGGCAAGAAAGAGCAAGTCACATCTTACATGGATGGTAGCAGGCAAAGAGAGAGAGCTTGTGCAGGGGAACTCTGCTTAAAACCATCATATTTCCTGAGACTTATTCACTATCACAAGAACAGCACGGGAAAGACTTGCTCCCATGAGTCAGTTATGTCCCACCGGGTACCTCCAACAACACATGGGATTTTAAGAAGAGATATGGGTGAGGATACAGCCAACCATATTATTCCACCATTGGCCCTCCCAAATCTCACATCCTCACATTTCAAAACCAATCATCCCTTCCCAACAGTCCCCCAAAGTCTTAATCAGTTCAGCATTAACTCAAAAGTCCACAATCCAAAGTCTCACCTGAGACAAGGCAAGTCCCTTTCAATTATTAGCCTAAAATCAAAAGCAGGTTAGTTACTTCCTAGATACAGTGGGAGGGGGTAGAGTACAGGCATTGGGTAAACACAGCCATTCCAAATGGGAGAAATTGGCCAAAACAAAGAGGCTACAGTCCCCATACAAGTCTCAAATCCAGTGGTGACAGTCAAATCTTAGAGTTCCAAAATGTTCTCCTTCAACTCCACGTCTCACACCCAGGTCACGCTGATATAAGAGGTGGGTTCCAATGGTCTTGAGCAGCTCTACCTCTGTGGCTTTGTGGAGTAGAGTTTCCTCTCAGCTGTTTTCATGGGCTGGTGTTGAGTGTCTGCAGCTTTTCCAGTGCAAGCTGTCAGTGGATCTACCATTCTGGGGTCTGGGAGGACAGTGGCCCTCTTCTCCCAGCTCCACCAAGTGGTGCCTCAGTAGGGACTCTCTTTGTGGGCTCCAACCTGACATTTTCCTTCTGCACTGCCCTATCAGAGGATCTCTGTGAGAAGCCCTCCCTGTAGCAAACTTCTGCCTAGAAATCCAGCTATTTCCATACATCCTCTGAAATCTAGATGGAGGTTCCCAAACCTCAATTCTTGACTTCCGTGAACCCATAGGCTCAACACCACATGGAAGTTGCCAAGGCTTGGGGCATCCACTCTCTGAAGCAGTAGCCCATGCTGTACCTTGGCCCCTTTTAGCCATGGCTGGAGTGGCTGGGAAACAGAGCACCAAGTCTCTAGGCTACACACAGCACAAGGACCCTGGGCCCAACCCATGAAACCATTTTTTCTTCCTAGGTCTCTGGGCTTGTGATGGGAGGGGTGCTGTGAAGACCTTTGACATGCCCTGGTGACATTTTTCCCTTGTCTTGGGGATTAACATTTGGCTCCTTGTTACTTATGCAAATTTCTGCAGCCAGCCTAAATTTCTCCTCAGAAAATGGGATTTTCTTTTCTGTCACATTTTCAGGCTGCAAATTTTCCAAACTTTTATGCTTTGCTTTTCTTATAAAACTGAATGCCTTTAACAGCATCAGAATCTTTGTTGTTGGGGGTCAGATATGTGCTTTAACAAGCCCCCCAGTTGATTTTTATGCATGGAAGTTAGAGAAGCACTGTTTTAGGGGACATGAGAGGAGAATAAGAAATAAAAAGGACAAAAATGCACAAACCCAATAAAGAGGCATTTTCACTGTAGT